CATCTGGGGGAAAAAGTGGGAGGAAGGTGGTATTGCATGTGTTTGGTTGGGTCAACCAAAGGCTGGGAGAGTCTCCATTAGATTTGAGGGCTCAGTGCTATGTTTATTTTTGATTGCCTGAAGGACCAGACATGTTCCCATAAGATCGGGTGGTCTGGTTGATTTTACTTGCGAGGGCTGCCTGTTTTTGACTTTCAGGGACCAAGTATTTTTTCATAAGACTGGATGGCTTGGTTGCCTTGTTTTCATGGGTTTCTTATGTTTTATTAGTTTATGAAAGAGAGTTGGGCATGTTCCATAAGATTGGATGAACTTGACTCTCTCTTGCTTTATTCTAAAAAAGAATTCAGACAAAGGATTGAACAAATTTCCATAAGATTGGGTGGTTTGGTCTGGAGCCACGCACATGCTGAAACCAAATGGATAAACTTGCTTATATTCTTGTATTATTTTACTTACGAACAGGCTAGTCATACAATTTTCCATAAGATTGAATGGTCTGAATATAGCTTATCATTAACTGAAGAAAGTATGAATTAAGAATAAATTTAAGGTAAGAAGGGTCAGGTTGAACCTTGATCTAAGATAATCGGTTCAATTATATGTTCCCTTAAAAGACTAAGGACAAACGGTTGTATATGACTTGAATACTTAAACGGTTTAGAACGACTCGGTTGAATAACCTAGTAATATGCCCAATGAAAAGAAAAGTTTTAGTGCTCTATGTTTGTGTATACTCTATGGTTGAGTTAGACAGATTCTCATAAGATTGGGTGGTATAACTTTAAGCGTTATGTAAGTTGGGTATAAGGGACAAATCATTGAAAGACTATGAACTATTGTTGATCAAGTTGACCGTGGGCTGGTGAGAGTACTTACCTTTGTGGTTTGGCCTGCATGTGGCTAAGTGAGATCACTGCTTAGTTTGAGTTTTAGTTTGATAGGTAGTTGTTTTCTATGTTCGTCACGTGCTAAAGCTATAAGAGTTAGTTTCAATTCTTGCATTTTCTGAGCTAAGTTTATTTTACTTCGGTTAATTTCTGCATTTTGTGGGATCCTTTATCATACTTGGTCTTGTATAAATCTTAGGAAGTCACTTTCTCTATGGGAAGCGCTGCCAAAATTTTTACAAAACCGGAAACTGCAGCCCAAATTTCTACAAAACCGGGGAGTGCTGCCCAAATTTGTACAAAACCGAGGAGTGCTACCCAAGCTTCAATGGCTTAGTAAAAATTTGGAAAGTCTCGTATTCTAAAGGGAGTGCTGCCCAAATTTTTGTTAGTTCAGGGAGTTAAACAAAAATTGGACTTTGGGAAGTCAAAATTATTTTTATATTTCGAATTTAGCTTTGTATAAATTTTAGAAAGTTATTTTTCCTACAGGAAGTGTTGTCGAAACTTTTACAAATCTAAGGAGTTAGTTAAATTTTGCCTTGATAAAACTCAAGTCTTATGTTTGAGTTCATATCCGACTTAGTATAAATATGAAAAGTCTGCCTTTTTAAAGGAGATGATGCCCAAATTTTTACTAATTCAGGGAGTTGGACTAAATTTGACTTTCTAGAGTTGAATGTTGTTTTAATTTTTCATATTTGGGGCTAGTATAAATTTTCAAAAGACACTTTTCCTACGGGAAGCGATGCCGAAACTTTCTTAGTTAAAGGCGATAAATTATATTTTGACAGGTAGCGATTCTCATAATCCACTCTGTATAGGGGAGATTCTGTCATAGGTCTATCTTTCCTATGGTATTGACCTAGAAATAGATTTAGGCTTTATTATTGGGAGAGTCTTGAGTGAGAGCGTGTTATGAGAATGTAGTCTTCATACACTTAAGCACTTCGTTTGGGAATCGACCTGTCTTGTGTTACATGTCCTCTTGATCGATTCGATTCAGGACTAGTTTCATCTTGATCTCACGAGGATCATCTTTTGTTATCACTGATAACAAGTCAGTTGTTGATTCGTCTGCCTACGGCTCAACTTTAATCCATTCTCGTTACCTAACCTAAAAGGATTTAGCCCTGATGATTCTTATTGTTTTATTAAGGTTTTCACCCGGACTTTTGTTGAATGACCATTTAACAAAGGTATTGAGTATTTATTTTGGAAGGTTGGACAAAGGTTGGGGTTTGCATGGTTAAAGCAAGGGGTATGAGTATAGAAAATGGTTGAAGTTGACCCCGTGTAGTGTGTGAAACTTTGGTTGATTTTTTGATATGATTGCAGGTATGTTTTGTGGTTCGGACTTTGAAATTGACTGTCTGCGATCACATACATATATATATATATATATATATATATATATATATATAGCTAAGAGGAGTCACACGGTGATTGTAAGAAGTGATCGTCACATATTTATTCTCCTCTATATATATACGTATATACCTATGTTTGAGTGTTCGAGTGACCTAAAGAGCCCACACTTAATGGTTTAATTGGGGCTGAGATTGAGAGAGAAAAGGAAACTCTCTTCCTTTACCGTGTTTTTTATTCTTAAAGTTTCTTAGTCGGACGTTGGTCCTGGGCCTGGATTCGAGGTCCTTGTCCAGGACATCCCAAGTCCTAGACTCCACGCGGAAGGGATCACCCCCCATGCAGAGCCTATTTGCCTTGCCCACCGGAACATTTAGCCTAAGGGCCAAAGGTGCCGCCGAGCCGAACTACGGTTCCTTCAATCGTGCAATATCGTTGAGGGTTTGACCCTCACGATACTTCGAGATTGACACTTGAGTGTCATAAGCGGTACTCGGATCCACGAGGGACCGCTTGATTATGGGCACTACATAGTACGCCATCATTGTGACTGCTTGCTCATTCATGCATTGCTAGTCGATATGAGAAAACTCTGCGTCTGCGCGGTTTTATACTAAGTCTTTCGCGCGTCGCCTATCCGATTTCCACGTCGGAAGGTTATGGGATGACTACAAAAGGGACTACGAGTGTTGTTGTGTTGTTTGTTTTGTGTCGTTCCGTGTGTGTGAGTGTTGTGGTGTAACGCTTGGTACTTGGGATGCGTCTTAGTCGACCGACGTCGAGTTGCGCTTGGGACTTCAACCCCCAGTGCGTCGTTTCGTGTACAGGTATGATAGAGGCGTAAGACCCCGCGTACCCCCTATGCTACAACGAACGAGAAATGTGCTCGCAACTGGTCCACCTCTGCGATTGCAACTGATCAACTTTCGTATTGTGGACTGATAGCTCGACGGGGATACGCCTACCGAAAAGGAGGTGACATCTCCCGCAAGTGGAGGTGAAGTTGTATTTCGCTTTGGCCCGATCCTATCTCGTGAGAGGAATGGCTGGTGCACTCGGCTGGAGCGGCTTGCAGAAGCTCCATGTGTATCGTGACGATAGTAAAACAACTCCTCCGTGACGCGGTCGGGAGGGTTTCGCCCTGCGCGGGGCCGATGCGCTCGACAACGTACCTTCAACCCAGATTGAGCACGACCATTCTCCCTTGTTGTTGCATGATTCCCTCAATTTGATGTGGGATAGGTTCCCCAATGGACTGCTGAGAATACTGCTGGCTCCGTAACACACATGAGCTTGTTCAAAGAGGGGAGCTTGACCCACAGTTGAAAGGATCTGACGCCATCGATATTGATTGAGATCAGCTTCTAATAAAACTCTGATTGATCCGTTTTGAACTTGTGTACCTGTGTGGAGAACCATGTCCCCGGAGGTGGGATGCTTGCGGGACGCAACAAATATTTTCACTCCGGGGGTAGGGCGGTCCTCAAAAGGGCTGCTCTTGCTTCCAAATGGCCTAGTCGGCCGAGCTTTTCTTTGAGGTTATCCACCACTTCTCATTGGCCCGTTACCTCATCCCACAGGTCAGACACTCTTAACACACCTCTCTTTACCCACTGTCTTCCGAAAGCGTCAGGGGCGCTTCCTGCAAAGATTGAGCGTCCATTTTTATCTCGAATCGGTGGATTGTCAAAAATTGGCTAAAGCAGTACCTCCTCCCTCGTGGTTGGGGGGGTCCATTGATGGGGGGCTACCTTCTTCCACGCTTTCAGTACGTCCTGCCAAAAGGGGGAGGAGGTACGCTTGTGCAAGTCACTAGTGGTTAACGGGTAAATTGTTTTCATTGCTGAAATCTGTTTTTTGGCCAAAATTTATAGGCTACCAGGGTGGCCCGGGTCCACTTGTCCGGCCGGGCCAAAAATATATAAAAATTTAAAATATATATATTTTTTCCTAGGAAGATTCTCGTGACCAGCCGGTCACCCAGGCATGACGCTCGGACAGGTCCGGTGACCGGGTCACCCGGTCATGAGAAAAATACATGAATTTTTTTTATTTTTTTTTTGGGTGCAGACCGATGTTCTGCGCTTGTGTAGATGTGTCAGAATCCGATGTTTTTTTTTTTTTTTTGTGATGTTGGGTTCCATGGGGGGTGG